TTTTTTTTTTTTTTTTTTTTTTTTTTTTTTTTTTTTTTTTAACTCCACACTTTTACCACTTAGGTCTGTACTTTGTCCTTCCTCTTTGTTTCAAACATTTATGTCATTTGGGACATTATTGTTCCAATCATAGATAATGTTCGGGTTTTATAAAACCTTCGCTTTTGTTGATTAGACGTCAAAATAATCTCGAATTTGCATATTTACATACTTATTCTGTAACAGCGTCCTTACTGGCATACCGCCTGGTGTCTGACTTTGATACCATTTGTAACAACTCAAGCTTATTGCTATTAAATATTGTCCGTTTTAGTCCGTTACGTATCGCCGTCAACATTATGGTTTTAAAATGCGTCTATTAGGGAGAGATTTCCACACCCTCATCAGCAATGCTTCGTTCTTCTCTCCAAACGATGAGGGATCTCACAATTATTTGTAATAACCCAAGCCCACAGCTAGTAGATATTGTCCGCTTTGACCTGTTATGTATCGCCGTCAGCCTCACGATTTTAAAATGCGTCTACTTGGGAGAGGTTTTTACATCTTTATAAAAAAATGTTTTGTTCCCCTCTCCAACCGATATGGGATCTCACATATTCTCATACTTCTCGAAACGTTTTTCAAAATCATCGGCAACTCTTCGTCTTCGAATATTCACATTTGTCTAACAACGAATCTAGGATTGGTGTTTGTTTATCGTTTTTGTTCTTTCACTATCCAATAACTAGTATTGAGCTGCATTCGACCGTGTACTCGACACTGCATTGGAAATAGCATTCGAAAGCTTGACTCTTCCACCCAATTGAACGACAAAGGATAGCCTCACGGTTTCATTTCTTACAACATGATCACGTTATCTAGTTCTCGTTTTTAAGATTGAAAACTATTCTCAGATATCTACATGCTTCTTATATATGGTGAATAGTTGATTAATTTATCAACATTTTTCAGGCGTTTCAACCATAATTTGTCTCCCTCAAACGATGACCGACTCCTTTTATAGGCTAAACAAGATATGTGATAGGTTCTGATTGAATGTGCATCGCAATTTATTAAGGTTGTTCATGGATAGGTTTCGTTCGGGTTGAAACAGATCTTTACCTAAAATATAAGAGCATCACGCTCACATTGTATCTCTTAGACTTGTTATTCAGCTAGCGCACGCTCACATTGTCGGAACCACAGACGGAAAGAAGCCCACATAATATTATGACTTAACATTAGTATTGTAATGTACGGTTCATCAGGAAGTATCTTAATGCATGTGACATACAAAAATGTACGAGGTCCTATCTCATCAATCATGTCATATACTTATGATGTAAGTCATACCTTCTTCATTTCATAACGAGCTTATCTTCAGTAATTAACATACCTAATGAACATATTAAATATGGAAGTTTCTAATATCTCATAGCCAATGAGCGAACCTATTAAATACCAAAATTTATTTACCTTCAACCTGATGAGGTTGTTTAAAACAAGAACAGGAAGAACAAAGCATTAAGGAATAAAATGGAGAGAGAGAAAAGGAGAGATTAAGCGTGCGCGCGCGAGAGGGAAGAGAAAGGTTACGTGAATCGTCTGAAGAAGAGAGGCCCATCTCTCTCTACTTAGCTACTCAAGCGGTGGTGTTCAAGATTCGCCTTCTTCTCCTCTTTTAACATTGGGGCCTTGCAGCCTCAACAAAGATCGAGTTCACCATCATCTCAAGGGCGGAGAGATATGGTGGAGACCGAGAACATAACCGATTCGTTGCAGAATGTGGAGGATGAAGTTGGGAAAGTGGTGGAGCAGGCGAAGGAGCTGCATGATTCGGCTGCTTCTCTAATCTCTAGAACAGCCACTGACGAACAGGCCCTCCGCCAGAGTGCTCTCTCTCTTGAATCTTCCATTCGTCGTCTTCGTTCTTTACTCAATTCGCTTCTCTCCAAGGAGCTTTTGGATTCCAAACTTGCTGACAAGGTGCACATCTTTCTCAATTTTGAACGCATTTGAATTGAAATCTTTCGTTCTGCAACCGTTGGATCTATTCATTTTTCCGCTTGTTTGGATGAATCAGCTGGAAGATGACTTGCAGAGAGCTAGATGTATGATGGTCGATGGAGAGGTTGCATCGTTTCTTCCTGGGAAGCCGCAGGGTTAGAGTCCTTTCCTTCGTTATTTAGAGATCTTGAATTGATGTCATTTCATTTTTAAGGGAATCATGGGATTAGGAAATGAAAGGACAATATCAGGATTAGCGTCCGTTTGCTTCTTCCTGCATTTACTGTCTGAGTATGTAATTTGATGGCAGGTAAGTTCTTGCAGATGTTTCTGGGACCTATTAATGTGCGTGCCTCACGGAAAGATGTGCAGTTTAAAGTTAAAGAGGAGTATAACAGTTACAGAGTACGAATTTCTATTACTATTTGTACTGCAAAGTTTCACATGTTTTTGCTTTAGTCGTAGAGGCTAAACCTTGTTGCATGTTGTAATTTGCACCTTGATCAAACTTCTCAATTATTACGGCTATGGCATACCTCCAACTCTTAGAAATTAGTGCTTTGTTATAAGAGTTATTTTCTTGCTCGCTTTTGTATTTTACTTGAAACATCTGTATTTGATAGTCTACCTTTTGAGGATCAACAGCCATCAACAGCTGATTGAAACATTCTTTCTTCAATGCATTAGCATGATGAAGCTTCAGATGGACCTGATTGGTTAATTTTACCCTTCGTCTGGCGTATCCATTTTATGTTAGTTGCAAAATTTCATTAATAGAATAAAATTTACAGTAAGAGAAGAATAGGTGTCCTCTAAACTCTCTGCGAAAGGAGTAATTAAATCATGTGTCAAGCAAGCGTCTTTGTTGTCTTGTAAGGTATTTGGTTGGAAATGAACAAGAGAGTTTTTAGAGAGGTAGAGAGATTGGGGGATGAGGTGTGGGAGGCGGCTAGTGCCTCCTTTTGAACCTCGTTGACCGGGTCTTTTTGTAGTTGTGATCTTGATCTTGTTCTTTTCGATTGGAAGTTCTTATGCAATTTCTTCGGCTTCTTTTTTGTATGCCTTAATCCCTTTTGATTTCAAACATCAATGAAATTGACTCTTACAAAAAAAAAAAAAAAAAAAAAAAAAAA